AATAGTGAATTTTCGTGCATGAACAGTGATTTATGGGCAAAAATTCCAGATTATGCAGGGGGTACATATACCCCCTAGGGGGTATCGATTCCCCCTAAACAAAAAAAATGAAATTTTGGTTCATTAAACTAGCTTAAGTTATTAACATCAAGTTTAAGGTTTAGGCTTATGATAATTGTTTTGAAAATTATATTTATGTAGATATTGAGCCTAAACAAGTTCCGGAACAATAAAAGAATTAGGATTTAATCAAAGCAAGCAAGACTAAGGTGAGTGCAATTTAATTTGTGCTTATAGAACGAACATTGGCTTGCGATGAGCCAGTGATGGAGTTACTATGGTGATAAGTAACTTCTAAAATGTTATGTGATTATTATGTGTGCATTAGTACATAGAAATTAATGTATGTTATTATATGTGGTATTGATATAAGTGACTATATGATCACGAACTATGTAAAATAGCAAGGACTTATGTGATAACAAGATAAAATGATATAAACTAGGTGGTATAGATATAAATGATAGGTTAAATGACATGAACATATGTGAAAATATGAGAAATGATATGAACTATATATATATATATTATATGTTATAAGTGATTTCATAAGAAATCATAAGAATACATGTATAAGTGACTGTAGGTTCATGTAATATAAGATATGTGAATCTAATATATGAAAATACATGCTTTTGTGACAACTTTATATGTTATTCTATGTGCTATGTGATGTATATATATGAACATATATGAATAAGATATGATATACATGTTTATATGAACCCATGAGAAATGATATAAGTTATATGATATGATTTATGTGATTACATGCACATGTGATACTTGTTATATGAAATGACACAGATGTTTACACATACATGTGGTATGTGATAGAAGAAAAGGTATATGTGATCACATGAGAAATGACATGAGTATATGAATATATGAAACATAAGAATAATGCCCATGTTATATGATACGAGAGCTATAGGTATAGTTGGCATGCCAAGAGTCGAGGGTTTTATAGGTTCTTCGGGATAATACAGTGGTCCTTTGGGATAATACAGTGGTCCTTCGGGACAATATAGTGGTCCTTCGGGACAATACAGTGGTCTTTCAGGATAAATTTCCAATGCCACTCAGTGGGACTTATACGAATTGTGGTGACAGAATTAGTGCACAACCTCAATGTACTCACATACCTTCAGTTCTCAATAGTGTACATGGGCTAACAAAGAAATTTAATAAGTATACTGAATGTGATATATATATTTGGTAATATGAAATATGTTATAGAAATTACATGATGATGTGTTTATTCCTTGGTATAGTGATATATGTGTTATATGATGAATATATGGTAAGTAAAAGTGATTAATGATAGTATTTGCAGATGTATGTCTTTTGTTTATATGAAATGGTATATGGTTATATTATATGTTTTATATGCCTCACTAAGTCATCGACTTAGCGTGTGATTGTTTCACACGTAGGTTTGGAAAGCGAAAAGAGAAATAAAGAGGAACAAGACAGGTCAGTTCTCCTTACCAAAGATCAGATCAGAAATGTAGATCGAATTACATGTATTTTGTTAGAAATAATTTAGTTGGCATGTAATAAATAAAGGATTTGTATTGGATACGCTCTGATCGAGTTTTGGAATGTTTTAAACGTATACATATATATGTAAATGGTAAATGTATAGAGATGAATGTTTTAAGTTTTAAGAGTTTATATATATTTTACGAAAATATTGTAGCAGTACTGTAGTAGTATTGTAGTAGGGTATCAATTCCCTATAGCAGGGGAATCAATTCCTCTATTATAATCTGGAAAATTTTAACATTCGAGTATTGTTCACGGTACTGTTCATTAGTGTTCATAGTATTGTTCATTACTGTTCATACGGTACTGTTCATACCATATTTTACGGTTCATAAATACGTTTTGCCTCAAAATTTTATAACAAAATATATGATAGTATTTTCTTAAAATGAGTTCAAATGTTTTGATATTTTGTAAGAATATCGTTTTTAAAAGTTAATGTGACATCTCGGACTCGTATCCGGGTCGGGTACGGGTTGGGGTGTTATATAAAGTGTCAAGGTGAGTGCAAATTTAATTGTACTTATGTTATTGAATAAACATTGGTTTGCGATGAGCCAGTGATGGAGTTACTATAGTAAGAAGTGACTCCTAAAATATTATTTGATTTGTGATTCTTATGTATGCATGAGTACATGAAAATGAGTATATGTTATTATATATGAAATTATAATATAAGATATGTGACGAGATATGTGTAATACATGAAAATGTGATATAAGTTGTGTAATAAACCATGTGAATTGATATAAATAATTAGGAGAATAAATGGAAAGGTGAGATAAAATAAGTAATATTTACTTATAAAGTAAAAGGAGATTATATGAACAGATGATATTGATAGGGCACATAAGACTACATGTCTATCTTTTAATGTAATAAAAGTGTATATGTGAAATGACATGATAGGTGATAAAAACCGTGAGCCTATATGAATATGTGATATGAATGTGATATATGTGATGTATGGGAAACATATGAGAACAAGAGATGACAATGATTTACATGTCATATGAATACAAGAGAAGTGTTATTTCCTATAATTATAATACATGAAGTCATAAATATAAGTAGGTGAATGAAATCATTTGTATGATGTATGAATTCAGGAGTAAATGCATGTGTGAATATGATTTATATGCATTATATGTCATGTGAACATAAGAGGACAGAGCATATGTTATATGATATGAGATGGATGATCATATGCACATGTGATATGTGATAGAAGAAATGATATGAGTACATTAATATATGAAGCATAAGAAAAAATGCCCATGTTGTATGATACGAGAGCTATAGGTATAGTTGGCATGCCAAGAGTCGAGGGTTTACGCAGTCCTTCGGGACATATACAATATACAGAGGTCCTTCGGGACAAATACATATATCCTTCGGGACAAATTTCACATGTCCCTAGTGGGACCCTATACGAGCTGTGGTGACAACATAAGTGCAATACCTCAATGTACTCGAATACCTTAAAGTTCTCGGTAATGTACATGGGCTTATAAAATATATCAAAAGTGTTTGCATTATTATATGATGTTATGTATGTTTCTTTGTGAAATGATATATGTGTTACATGATATACCGAAGTGATAGGTACAAGATCATATGATAAATGTGTTAATGATAATGGTAGAGATCATGATAATGATGGTATATATATATATATGCATGTATGCATTTTGTTTTGTGAAATGTTATATGGTTTTATTATATGTTTTATATGCCTCACTAAGTCAACGACTTAGTGTGTGATTGTTTCACGCGTAGGTTCTGAGAAGAGGAAGAATGATAAAAGTTAAGTAAGACATGTCAGTTCTTCTTTCCAAAGATCAGATCAGAAAAGAATTAAATAGTCTGTATTTTGTAATACTAATTATGGTTGGCATGTAAATAAAGGTTTGAATACGATATGTTCTAATCGGTTTTGCAAAATCATATGATTGAGTTTTGTAATGTTTTAAACGTATTTAAGTAAATGGTAACTGTTTAGTGATGAAAGTTTAAATTTTTATGAGTTTTATACATGTTGACTGAAATTACTGTAGTAAGGGTATCGGTACACTGTAGCTGGGTATCGATACCTCTGTAGCATTCTGGAAAATTTTAGCATTCGATATTGTTCACGGTACTGTTAACTACTGTTCATGGTACTGTTAATTACTGTTCACAGTATTGTTCATACCGTATAGTACTATTTATAAAAACATTTCTTTCCTTAAATTTGTTATAACGAACATAATTCAACAGTATATTATCGTATTTTCTTAATACAAGTCCAAACATTTTGTTATTTTGTAAGAATAGTGTTTCAAAAAGTCAATGTGACATCTCGGACTCGTATCCGGGTCGGGTACGGGTTGGGGGTGTTACATTATTTGATCTTTTAGAAAGTTTGAGGAGTTATTTAATTTTTAAGTTAAAAATTTTAAAAATAATAAATTATTTAAAATGTAAAATATTATAATATTCAAAAACATAAAAAATACTAAAATTTCTAGAATATTGTTATTTTCTTTATAAAAATATTTTTTTGAAAATTCCGAAAATTTCTTTTAAAATTATAAAACTAAATATCATAAAAAGAGTAATTTTTAATATATATATATATATATATATATATAATATTACATAACTATTTTAAAAATTCTAAGAATATTACATGAGTAATTTTAAAATAGGATACACTACATGTTTAGTACTCTAACTATCACTTTTATTTTTTTTTAGTCATTCAACTATTTTTATTTTTAAAATCATATCTAAAGTTACGTTTCTGTTTCATTTTGGTCACTCACTGTTAAAAAATTGACATAATTATTGACTTGATATTTTTTATAAAAAAATTCAATGATGACGTGACACTAACTTATAGTGACACATCGTCATTATTGTTAATTTTTTAACGATGAGTGACCAAAATAAAAATAAAAATAAACGTTAATTTTGAAAAAAAAGATACTTAAGTGACTAAAACAAAACAAAAGTAATAATTGATGTACTAAACATATATTTTACCTTTAATTAAATTTTAATATGATTGAGACCATTATGATTATAACAATCGAAAGGATCTAAATTTAAAATACATATTACTATTCAATTTAAAGGTAAAATAAGATCTTTTTAATTATTATATTAAAAATATTTTAAATTAAATTCTATGTGATCTAACGACAAAAACTAATAATGATTTCGATTTCGACCGACTAACATAGATTAAAAATTAAAGTTTAGCATAATAGAGGGAGTAAAACCATAATTTAAAAAATTCGAAAGCCATATTAAGTTATCAAAAGTGAAAACGTTGAGCCCATATCGTTTTTCAATTGTAGCTAAAAGAAAAGCCCAAATGCAGAGAACAAATACTATAAAATACTTATCATAAGTTAGGGTTTCACTGTGTAGTTAAGACTGTGTAGAACATAAGCCTCATCTTTAGCTTAACTGTCTTAGCTGCTGCTGCTTCAAATCTCATCACGACCATGGTAATTTCTCATTTATTTATTTAAGCTCATTGTTTGGTTTATAAGAAAATGGTTGCATGAAAATGTGTTTGATACAATTGGTTTTGTTTTATGATTGTTAGATCATCCCAGAAAAGAACCGCCGCGAGATCTCCAAGTACCTCTTCCAAGGTAGTCGAATGATAAATAGCCTTACCCATTTCAATTTTTGGCCATATTTCAGTTAGATATTTGGATTTAAGATCTGGGTTTTGTGATTGTTTTTGGAGTAGAGGGCGTTTGTTATGCAAAGAAAGATTATAATTTGGCAAAGCACCCAGAAATCGATGTTCCGAATCTTCAAGTGATAAAACTGATGCAAAGCTTCAAGTCTAAGGAATACGTGCGTGAAACTTTTGCTTGGATGCATTATTACTGGTACCTTACCAATGATGGCATTGAGTTCTTGAGGACCTACCTTAATCTTCCTTCTGAGATTGTTCCCGCTACTTTGAAGAAACAAGCTAAGCCTGCTGGTCGTCCGATGGGTCCTTCTGGTGATCGCCCACGGTAATAGTTTTGGTTTGTTGTTATTTGTTGCTCTTTGATTTAGTGAAACGTGATTTATTTTTCATATATTATGTTGGTTATGAATCAGTGGTCCACCACGCTTTGGTGATGGTGAAAGGAGATTTGGTGACCGAGATGGCTACCGTGGAGGTCCTCGAGGAGGTGGTGATTTTGGTGACAAGGGAGGAGCTCCGGCTGATTATCAGCCTTCATTCAGGGTAATGTTTAAGGGTTCTTACAATATCCCCATACTCGTAAATGAAAATGTGTCCAACATGGAGGTTGGAGTTTGGACACTGGTACTTTTAATGATAAAATGAAGAATCGGAGCAAAATAGTTTCCATGCTCTGTTGCATTTCCACCAGCTTAGTTTCAAATATGAAGATAAATTATGCTTTGTGGATCAGATGTTAATGCCCGATTGCTTTAATATAAGCTGTAAATGGGTGGCAGTCTCACCATGATGTTATTTCACTTTGAAGAATGCAGTTTCCATATAATTTTCTCAGATATTTCAGTTTTCTAGATGCCACAATTTCAACTGAGGTTATTTATTTATAACTGAAAAGCTGGTATAATTTTATTTTATTACTTATGAACACCCAGGGCCCTGGTACAAGGCCTGCATTTGGTCGCGGAGGCGGTGGTTATGGTGGTGCTGGATCTGCTGCAGGTGCCGGTCTTCCTTGAGAGTGATGATTTGTCGTGATGGATGGTTTTGTCCGTTAGGTTTGTTTGCATACGGAGTTTATAGATGTACTTGTCTTATGCTTCAATGTTTGATAATTTTTAGCTTGATGCTTAAAAACGCTGCTTCTATTTTTGTTTATTAATGGGGGAATTTAGAAACAATGATTTCTTTGCCCTGATCTATATGCACATTTTGTGGTGTTTGTTGCTCTAAGTGCTTGATATATCTATTTTGTTTTCCCCATATTCTGTTCTTTGTTGCATTGAAATCTTTGTTTCAAGTAGACAGCCACTCTATGAGTTGAGCACCAAACCTCAACAACTATTGACATAAACCCGGACATAGGCTTGAATGTCGGATATGGGATGTGTGTGACATGTATATATTTAATTTTTCATAGGTTTTTTTATATAGTTATAGATCCCATGGATGGTTCCATTGAAAGGAATAGTAGTGCTTATCTTATACCGACATCGGTCGTCCTTGTTAATGCTGATAGTTGAAGCTCTATGGCTAAATGTAAAGATTGGGTTATAGTAACTTGTGTTAAGTCAGACTTGAGTGGTATGCATTCGACATGATGTTCAATGGGTTTTTTTAGAAAGTTTAATGTATTTGATCCTCCAAAATATTTCAAACGTATGACCCTCCAAAACAAGGAAAAACAAAACCACTAAGAAAATCTACGAGGATGCTGTCCTTTTCCAGACATAAATCTGTCTGTGAAGAAAGATTAACATCAATTTATGGCCGGAGTTGATGAAATATCTTGAACTTCGATGTCGTTGATCACTTCATCGCCAGAAAGCTCTCCTCCACCAAACTTCAAAACCTCTCTGAATATTTGGACAATCTTCACTAGAGTTCAAGAATCTATCAAGCCATGCAAGGAAAATATCCTGCTGCAATGCCAACGGCAATGTAAGAATTGTGTTACTGAGACCATCCTCGATTAAATGTCGATCGAGCCCTTTTGATGCTCGCCTCATCATCCACCTGAAATCGTCGTAAAATGGCACCAACCATGTCTGTAAAAGCAAGTACCTAACTTCCTTTGATGCCAATAGCTGCCCCTTTCCGATACCGACAAATAGCCGTGCGGTAACTCTGCTGACCTCAAACCGATGGATAGGTGTAACTTTAGAATGAGACTCGGATAATTCAGATTGAGAAGCCCATGATTTTAGAAAATCCTCAGCAATCTGCCTATCGACCAAAATGTCGAGGATCCAGTGCAGATTATCAGCTTGTCTTGCAATCTGATTCACATCCGGCAAATCCGATGAAGCTGCTCGGAGAAAATGGTGTCGAAGCAGTTCCAGGCAGCCGTCACAAGCGGCGTATAACGACTCTCTTCGGAGATCGTTTTGTGAGGGATTCTCACGAAGCATCTTCAAGACCAATTCTTTCATTTCGCGCCGTGCTTTCTCGTCTTTGCCCTGAAGAACCAGATGAAAAAGCTTGAGAAGCACTCGTTCATTATCTCCACCATTGACTCCATTAGTAACTTCAACGGATACCCTCTTCAAAACTTCCCCAGCTCCAACATTTTCGAGGCGGAGCTCAGCCAATAACGAAGTTACTTTCTCTTCTTCGTCCTCTGTCCACGGCGCTGCTTCCAAGTACTCCAAACATGAAAGAACCCCAGCATCAAATCCAATTGCCGCTGAAACCTGAACAAAAAGAACCATTTAAACATTGAAATAAATTGTTATAAAACATTAAAAATGGAAATTTTGAACCTTTACCTTCAAAATTCGAAGAACACTGGAAACGTCCTCTCTCATTAAAATCTTCCTCAAATCTTTGCAATACATCAACCTCAAAGTCGCTATATAAACCTCAACGTCATCACAATCCGCTATTTCCAGGCTATACGGGTCACCTGATTCATTCATCTCTGGTGACGGGTCCGATAACTTCACCGCAAAAAACCTACTGTGAGCCGCCAGTATTTGCCTGTGCACGTTCATCGACACACTAATCCCATCTTTGGAGCTCAATGTCAGTTTTATATCACTCGAATTCGGGTCGTTAAACTGGTTCCCTGGGCTTCGGGTCGACAAAAGATCCGAAATTCGTTGCATGGTCAATGCCTGCTTATCGACGACAAACGGGGGTTGGTTTTGTCTTGGAGCTGAATTGGGTAGTTGGATCTGAGGTTGACTTTGGGTTTGGTTACTCGAGTGGATATCGGGTTCGTTGCCCATCATTTCGAAAAGGGTCGGACTGGAGCGTGTCTTGTCCGCCGGAGGCGGCGGGGACATCGGGTTTAAAAGACCCGCCGTGAGGGCGGAGTTGAACTTAGTGAAACTCCACGGAGAGTGGCCGTTGGAGAGCATCGTCCCGCCCGTGAAGTCCATGACGGGAGATACCCTACCAGGACAATATCGGATCTTGAAACTAGACAAAGAATCGTTTGAGCCCAGGTCGGGAACACCAGGAGCTTGCCGTGGAAGCGGAGGAGGAGAAGGCGGGGGAGGTGGCGGAGCAGGGGAAACAAGGGCAGAAAGAGTGGAGTCGGAGCAGTTGTTTGTAGCGGCGGAGGAAGAAATGGTGGTTTCTTTACACTTGCGGCGTTTTTGCTTGATGGATTGCACTTGAACTTTGAGCTGAGCAGCAGCAGTGTTCGTTGCCATTAATTGAATGGTATTCAATGTCTTATACTTTGTTTTTTTTTGCCTGAATTTTATCGTCTTTTAGGCTAACAACAACATTGGCGTCGGTGATGGTAACTATCATCAGTATTGGCGGTGGATACGAGAAAAATGGGAATCGGAGCCTGCCAATCGGGTGGGAAATTTGAGTAAAAGGACACTAGGTTGTGCCTGTTTGAAGAGGAGCATTAGTGGAAGCGAAAGAGAAATATGAGATTGTTTTGCTGTTGTTGTTGCAGCCATGTTACAGGGATTGAAAAAGAAAACAAAAGTTAGCAGCAGGAGACAGGCAGGGGAACCCCACCAAAAGTGGAAGCCAGGCCACCATTATTTTGGTCGTTAGTCTTGCGATAATTTTTGGGTAAACTGTACCTATAAACTCTTAACTATTTCGAATTTCCATTTTAACCACTGATATTTTAATTTTTTCAATCAAACCACTTAGCTATGCAAATGATTCAATCAAGTCACTAACAGTTAACATTAAAGGAAAAGATGATGTGATAATTATAAGTTTTGTTATAATTACACATTTGGTCTCTATTATTTAGATAGTATATAAATTTAATCTTAATTTTAATTTAATTTAATAAATTTGACCATCTAATTAAATTGTGCCACATGTTGGTATGGATAAGAGAATTTGAAATAAGGACGTTTGGGATACCATGAGCAATACAAACCACTGAGCCAAGAGTATTGGATGGTTTAAGTTCAATAACATAAATTATGTATCTTTTATATTAATGTTTTAAATTTAATTTATGTATGACTAACGGGTAGTACAATTTAATTAGTGGATTAAATTTATTAAATTAAAATTAGAATCTAATTAACACATTGTGTAAGTAACATGAACCAAATGCATAATTATATTAAATTTTTAACTGCCATATCATATTTTTTTGTTAAATGTTAACGGTTAGTGGCTTGATTGCATTATTTAAATAGCTAAATAATTAAATTGATAAAATTGAAAAATCGATAATCAAAATGAAAGTGAACAATAATTAAATGATCACATATATAATTTACCAAAATCTAATTATTCTATCATATTAACTATTAAACAAATAATTATCTAAATCATCTCTTCGAATAGAAAAGAAATATAATAAAATAAAAATTTATTTTTAAAATACTCATATTATTATATGTATATATATAAAATTTAAAATTCAATTATTCAATGTAATTTTTTTAGTTTTATAGAAATTTAGGATATATGAGTAAAAATATACTATTAACTTTTTTTCAATGAATATATTCTTATTTCTTACTATCAATTTTAGTAATCTATTTTCTTTCATTAAACAATCATAAATATGTGTATAAGTAAAATAATTTTATATTATGTAATAAGATCCTATCTTAAATTAAATTTTGGAATATTGTAGGCGGAAAAAAATTGAAAATTGAAAGTGTTTGAGAATTATTTTGGGATATAGGTCATTTGCTACAGTACACGTGTAACTCATCATGAGGGAATGAAAAGTTCCATACAATATATTAAAAATAAAATTCGTCATATGAAATATTAGAAAAATATATGAAACTCATCAAGTCCTCGTGACAAGTTTCAATTATTTATTATATTTTATGAAACTCGTCATTCCCTCGTAAATATACCTAATAAATGACTTAAATCCTAAAATAATTTTCAAACACTTAAATTTTTTATTTTTTTCCGCCTGAATTGTTATATATTTTGAGTAAAGTCAAAGTAAAAATGAGGCAAATGAGATGGGCCTTGGACGAGGGGGATCGGAGGACTGAGTGTCTTTTTGTTTATCAATCGGATTGTACTTTAATTTGGCACTTTCATTTGAGATTTTGTGATTTTTTGGGGGATTATTCTCGCCAGAAAACATCGCCCCTAGGCCCTAACATTTAATTTTTAATAATTATTATATTAATTAATTGAATTAAATCAAATTATTATTTTCAGATTTATGACTCCATTAATATGCCCATTTTTTTCCTGTTCAACTTCACATGTGAACGACAGATTACCATGTGGATTGAATTTATTTTATTTTTAAAATAAAAATAGAAATGCTTGAGAGAGAAATAATACCATGTCATTGTAGTGACAAAATAATTATTTGTCTGATAAGTGGAAATAATGAAGAAAAACAAACAAAATGATAAAAATAAAATGATGAATTCTTGGCGTGCAAATTTCTTCATATTTTAGTATAGAAAAGTTCAGCCTTATCAAAGAAGTCAATCATATAAATACCCGTCCACTCCATTTGCCTCAATTTTTAAGCAATGCTTGCATTGCAATGGTTTAATGTAAAAAACAAGTATCTAAATTATATATAAAATTAATTTTAGGTATTTATAGAAGGTTTTTTTAAAATAGGTGTCTATTATTTTCAATTTTATATTTTTAGGTGTCTGAACCGTCACGATCATTAAATTTGATCATTATCTTACATGTGTCATGTTTATAGAAATTTTAAAAATAATTTTTTAAAACACTTTAAAATATTATTTTTTTTAAAACATTTTTTCTAAAATTACAAAACATCCCAAAATTCTTAAAAATCCTAATTTCAACCCCTTTATCACCGTCGGCCGCCACCAACGACGCCAACCGACTGAAATTTCAATGACATGCGACCATCTGAACACCCAAAGGCCATAACCCCTGCTCCAACCCCTAATTGCATCGAAAATAGATGATTACAATGTGGATAAATCCTTTCGACCGATCTTCGAATCTTTCATCACAACCATTGGATGTTCGATTGGTCGTGAAAGCAAAGGATTTCATCCTTTGGGTGGTTGGCCGATCGCACAACGTTGGGTGTTCGATCAATCGACAACATTGATGGCTACTGACTGTGCTAAAGGATTGAAATTATGATTTTAAGAGATTTTGAGTTTTTTTTTCTTGCAATTTTATAAAATTTTGGGGTTTTTCCTTAAAAATTTGTAATTTTAAGTTTTTAAATTTAAATAAAAATTTCAAAATTTTATAAAAATGACACTTGTTAGTTTACGACAGAATTAATGACAGTCAAAGTCTAGGCACTTAAAATTATAACGTTAAAAATGTTATGCAATTATTTTGAGCGAAAAATTCTTTAGGCACATAAAATTAAGGGTAAAGTATAGTAATGGTCACTGAATATTTCTGAAGCTTGCATTTAGGTCCCCAACTTTTAAAACTTGCAATACAATCCCCCAACATTTAATCCGTTTGCAATATGGTCCCCACACCTATGAAAATTAGGGTAAATTATATAAATGGTCACTGAACTTTTTAGGTACTTGAATTTAGGTCCCCCAACTTTTAAAACTTACAAAACAATCCTCAATTTCATTCTAAACCACAAATTCCAAAGTAATTCAATTTCATTCTAAACCCTAAATTCCAAAATAATTCAATTACATTCTAAAACCCAAATTCTAAAATACTTCAATTTTTGTCTTTTTTATAAACGACGCCAATGTCACTAAATTATTAATTAATTTACTTTTTATATTTAAAAACATATGATACTTTTTTATCATTAATTTAAATACATGAAAATTTTTCAATAGTAAGAATATATGATAATAATTTATTTATTTAAAAATAAATATATTTCTGATTATTTGTGTATGTTTTTATATCTAATCATACGTGTTAATATATTTTATATCTTTCATATAAATATTAAGACTACATAAATAGCATAGTCAAAAATTTATATATGAGTTATGTTAATTATAGTAATGATGTATAAATATATTTTATTTTTATATTATTTCTATTATAATTAAAATATAAATATTACCATGATAATTAAATATTTATTTACTTATTACATCGAATATTTTATGTAGAAAAAGTATTTAATAAAATCATAAAAAACACAATAAAAAAATAAACACTGAAGTTGACTATTTCAAAAATAAAATAAAATAAAAAAATCAATAATTTAATATAATATACCCTAAGTTGATGATAACAATCAATTCAAAAGAGATGGGGTTTGTGCAATATTTTCGTAACGTACGTAAACTTTCTATTTCATGGTCATGTATTCTTTTAGTTCTAGCACGATATATTTTTTAATTTTCTAATACACTTAACAAAATTATATTATAACTCGTTAAGTGATTTCATAGGTAAAAAAATGTTCTTTTCTTTAAAAGTTTTAAATTCAAACAATTGTTTTTGTAGGGTATATCTATATTATTAATAAATTAAAAAAATTGAATAAATACTATCTTATAATCACATCGAGCTATTAAAAAACTAAATTATAATTGAAATAAATAAAAATTATAAGGATGTCAATTGGGGATTTTGATTCTTAATTTTTTTCATTGAGAGATTGTGTTTTTTTATTCAATTTCTTCCATAATGATTTTTTATATTTAAATTATTGAAGGTCACTAAATTTACATTTACGAGGAGGGAGTGTATTTTTTTTCTTCAAAAAAGTAAAAAAAAAAATCAAAATGCTATCACATTCTCAAAGATAATCTAGTATATTCCTCCTTAAATTGAAATATTTTAGAATTTGGGTTTTAGAATGTAATTGAATTATTTTGAAATTTAGGGTTTAGAATGAAATTGAATTACTTTGAAAATTGGGGTTTAGAATGAAATTGAGGAATGTTTTGTAAGTTTTAAAAGTCAGGGAACTAAATTCAAGTGCCTGAAAAGTTAAGTGACCATTTATATAATTTAACCTAATTTTCATAGGTGTGGGACCATATTGCAAATGGATTAAATGTTGGGGGACTGTATTGCAAGTTTTAAAAGTTGAGGGACCTAAATGCAAGCTTCAGAAATGTTCAGTGACCATTACTATACTTTACCCTAAAATTAATTTTAAGTATAATTTGAGTACTTATTTTTGTATTAGAACTTAATTAATTAATTTTTATAGAGATGTTTATGTTAATAAATTATTTGAGATTAATTATTATTGATGAAATAAATGAATTACGATAATTATAAGCGGTTCATCACTTTTAATTTAGGCAGAGAGTCACAGTTTGTGGAAAAATTATTGTTAGTTGATGTCGAGTTATTCTATCCCCATAAGAAATTAGAAGAGAGAAAAATGGAGGTAAGAAGGTTTCATTCTACTTTCTCGATCTTGATCGAAAAATTTTATAGTGACATATGATCGTTAGATATATAATCGTAATAATTATTTGTACAGGATGAATAAGCTCGATTGATGTAATCAATTGTGAATTAAAATTTACTTTTAAAGTATTATGTGTATCAT